CAAACAGCTTCTGGATATGCATTTTGATGACAGCCTTTCCAATAAGGGTGGCGCCGAAGAAGGTCCAGAAGGGCACCAGACTATAGCCACAGGTAATGCCCGCCAAATCAAACAGAGGGTTCGGTATTGAAGCGCACGCGAGTATACCGAAGAACCCGACTTTAGTTACCAAATGAATCATATTAGCCCTAAACCGCTGGGCCATAGACCTCCTGTTCCCCGCATTGGGCACGACAGCGCCCGATGAGCCGGTGATCTCGTCGGCTATGTCTTGGTCTAGTTCCTCCTCGTCCTCGCCGGACAGTCGGTGAGCTCTGGCCACGAAATACGGGGGCAGTTCCCCAAGTGCTGTACCGGCGCCCCACATGAACGCCTCCAGACGTACTTTCGACATAATAGTCCATACGCTTACTGCACTCAAAATCGGTGCAACACCTGGTGTCGGAACGGGACATATAATTCTGAAAACAAACAAAACAAAAAAATTAATTTTAATTTTAATGAGAGAGAGAGAGAGAGAGAGACTTGATATTAAAATACAATAAAAACCACATTAAAAGCGAAACTCAATTAACAAAACACTTTAAATCTATATAATTGTTAAACAAACAAAAAAAATTGCAGTAAAAATAGCGATTTATAAATAACATACTCGTCCGGATAGGGAGGCGATGGAAAGTCAAGCGAATCACACTCATAGGCAGCCAATGTTACCGATGCTATGTGTGGGCCCTATAGATAATCATTAGACAAAAAATACGAGAAATTATTTTTAATCCAAAAACTCAAACCCATAATTAAAACATCGAGAAAATGCGCCAAAACTCGTGTATCAAAACCCCTTTCAAACGACGTCTCAATTAATTAGACAATAAATTTTTGGCACACATTCACACATAACTAGCGATTCATTATAGCGTTAATCGCTTTCATCTCGAGAATTAAAATATTGTCATTAGTTTTAATGACACAAAACACTCACTAAATATAGTAGAAACGTGTGGAGACCGGTGCCCAGGCCTACGCTGGACAGTATGCCGAGTCCG